TTTTCCTGATATAATTTATTTCTTATATAAAAGTATAAAAATCTCTTCACACACTACAACTATACATAATATTACAAATTACGACTATACATAAAATTACAAACTACAACTATACATAATAATATATAACAAATTACAACTACACATAATATAACAAACATGGGTAACTCACACTCATCCCGTAAATTATCCCGCAAAAAACTTTCCAAGAAAAAATCCTCACAAAAATTAAACAGCACTGATTCTACAAAACAACAGCAAATATATAATCCGTCTTTAAATTTTCATATACCAAAGAATGAGCAAGATATTGATAGAATGCAACTTGAACATTTTTTATTCCAACATATTTGGAAATGTGATTTTTCTTCTCCAATCGAACAAATACTTAAAGCTGGTGATGCAAAAGTATTAGATATTGGGTATGTTTTTTTTTCCTTCCTAACCGATTCCCAACTCGATCCCCAACCGATTCCCAACTCGATCCCCAACCGATTCCCAACTCGACTCCCCAACCGATTCCCAAACTCGATCCGTGCCAATTTTAAATTTTTTTTTTTTTTTTTTACGTAAAAATAGTTGTGGTCCTGGAACCTGGCTCCTAGCTACAAGTCTAAAGTATCCATCAACTCAGTTCTATGGAATAGATATTGCACCAGTATTTCCCAAAGAAATCAAACCGGAGAATTTAGAATTCATCCAGTCAGATATCACTCATGGTATAAGATTCGACGACAATCATTTTGACTTTGTACGAATGAATCTTATGTCAACATGTCTTCCAGAAGATCAATGGGTTCATGTTATTGAAGAGTTGGTGCGGGTATTAAAACCTGATGGTTATATTGAGATAATGGAACCTGAATTCCAATTTTATAATATCGGTCCTTATTTTTCTAAATTGAATTCATGTTGTAAGTTCTATTTATTATTTTTTATGCAATATTTAAATATATACGCATTCTGAATAGAGCCTAATTATTTGAATTTCTTATAATTCTTTATAGTGATAAACTTTATATCATCGACGGGTGCCAACGTTTATATAACACAAAAAATCGAATCACTACGCAATATGCCAAATTCCCAAGCTTCATCATCTCAAACAGATATAAATCTAAGTAACACATTGTCGAAATTAACAGATATCCATTCAGACACACAAACAATTCCAATAGGTGCTGTACATGGTGGTAAAATCGGTAAAATATATGCTGAACTCTTAGGAATGTATTTCGAAAACACGGTTGTTGATGTTCTACCTTGGTACATGGGAATGAGTCGTGAAAATTATCTGGATATGTGGAAATTGTAATATTATGTATAGTTGTAGTGTGTGAAGAGATTTTTATACTTTTATATAAGAAATAAATTATATCAGGAAAA